TCACGTTGTCACCCTCTTTTATATACCAGACTACCCTATATGTAGTAAATGCTAGAGCATTCGCCAAAGTACAGGATAGTTCTAGAAAGTAGAGGGCGTGAGAATAGTCACCTGATCTCGATGACGCAACAATATTAAGCAAGTGAGTAAGTCTGGTTCTTTGTAAAATGCCTCCTTAATTTAGATGTCTTGGAGAGTAGGCTGATCTGTGGGAAATAAGTTTCAACAATGAAAATGTTGAAAAGGAATTGAGTAAAAGTCTCAAGCCTTTAAAAATATATTTTGAAATAGTGAAAGGAGCAAATTAGGGGCTATTTACAAAAAAATGTTAATTCAGGAATAAGGAGGTCATCACCTTTTTATATAAAACTTTGGTATTGCATCATTTATAGCAGTTCTCAGTCCACAAGTTCCCTACAGGTGTCTATGGAAAAGTTTCATAATTAAGGAAAGGAAACAGCAGCATAGTGTATACTCCATGTGGCTCAAAGAGTTAAAAAAAAGTTTAAGAACTACTACTATCTTATTTTACAAATGGCACTGATTTACTTGAAAAATTTTAGAGATGGGCAACCCAAATGATTCTTGGTTTGAAACATTTGAGCAATGAAGAAAGACCCAAAGAAATGAACTGTTTTCTTTGGAGTGTAGAAAAACTAAAAGTTCCTCATTTATGTGTTTGAAATTAGGAACTTGCTATTAAATTAGCTAAATTGCTAATGTGAAATTTATTGGACTGATGTTAGGATAGGAAATAAATTCATACTAATGAGTCCCAGATCTAGGCTGGTTATTAGTCAAAACATTCTCCCTGTCAAAAGTTAAGTTGTGGAAAGGTTTCCAGAGAATGTGGAATGTACTGGTATTTTTACTCCTTTAAGTTTTTGTTGGATAATTTTATGGATGTAAGAAATTATGCCTGAATTGCTATCTTTTATCTAGTCTTTTCTTATGTTTTTATTTCTGAAGTTTAGCTTTCCAACAATTTTAATCATTATTTCACATGTAACATTTTACCTGAATACTACCTATATTTAATGATGTTATTACACACACAAAATACTCACGATAATTTTCGCACTGAACTTGTCATGGTTACGATGAATAGCAAGAAAATATGAAATACGAGAGCTTTCAACTGCAGTGAGGTGAAGGGATTTTCTGTTGATCAAGGTGACACTATCTATAAAAAAAAAAAAAAGTAAACAACATTAAGTATTCAAAAACTTATTTTACAAAATGTACTTCTTAATGTTAAGATTTTCCAACACTGAAAATGTATTTCTGATATGTAATAATTTCTGTTAACACCTAGCTTTTCCTGATTTAGTGCTGCCCTCTATCTGCAAACTTTCTGCTTGCCACTAGCCTAAAAGCTCCCACCTAACCTCATGTTTCCACATGATATTGCTGTGTTATTGATTGCAAATAAGCATACAATAAACCTCAACCAACAGGAGTGCGTCACCACCTCCTAGTGCACCTGGCTTGCTCTATACTGATTGTTCAATCATCAGTACAAGATTAGGCAAGAAATTAAGATACAATGGAAGTGGGAAGGAAATGTGAGAGAAGGTATCTATCACAAATACATTTTCAGTGTTGGAAAATGTTAACTTTTTGTTGCGTCAGCGAGGTCACGTGACTAGTGTCACTCCACCTGCTTTCTAGAACTATCCCGTTCCTTTGGGAGTGCTCCAGCATTTACTAGATTGGGGGGTGGTCTGGTATATATAAGATGGTCATGGTGTGACGTGACAATGTGTGTGTAGGTAGTGAGTAATTGAACTGCAGTCAGGAAGTATTGTTAAAGTTAACGTTCATTGTTAAAATGTTTGTAAAAGAGCGACTGTTGAAAATAAGTGTATCGGTAAAGTTATATTCAAAAAGAATAAACCAGTTTTATTAAGTAAGGACTTGTGTCGCTAAAGTTTCGTCGGAACGAAGTTACGGAAAATCAATTAACAAACGGAGACGTAACAAATTGGAGTCAGAAGTGGGACGAAAGAAAAAAATGGAAACGAGAGGCGGAAAATCAACCTACAGCTAAGCAGAGTTGATGGCAGCAATACAAGAGCAGCAAAAGAAACAAGAAGAACGAGAAAATGAACGAGAAAAGAAACAAGAAGAGAGACAACAGCAGTTG